CGTCGTTATTCAATATGCGTGTGTCGAGAATGCATGCACCTACGTAGCAATGCTCATGTACTATCGCACATTACACTGTAATTTCGGAAGTGTTGTTGACTTACCCGCGAAAAAACCTCTCTTGTTCTCGGTTGAAGGCTGGCTACTCCAACACTAAGTTAAGCTCAATCAAGTCTCTGATATTTTCTCAATACATCAGGTCACTTCTGACTCCATGTTATGGGTTCTCAGGCTTAACAAAATAAGGACACTCCACAACGACTGCGATGTCTGCCATGTTTATATTGTGCCTGTCTTCCACACCACTTGAACAGAGGAGGGCGCTATAACTCTTTCCTAGACACGACCCAGCAGCGAAACTCACTGATTGTGCGCGTTCTAAGCATGCTGCAAGCGCCCAGACCCAGTGCTCTACGCAATGCTGATTGGTCAACGCAATGCTTAATAATTCATGACTTAGACTAGCATTCACGCCTACCCCTGTTTCGTCACAATATATTAAGGCATAATGCCGCATAATGAGGGAGTTGGTCACCCGATGGAATGTGACCCCATGGACTAGCTCGGAGCCGGGGTAAACTAGGGGCAAGAGGTTACAAAGTTATGTTCCCCGTGAGGTTACACAGGCAGTGTATTCGGCTGGCCACCAGTTCTAAAGTGCCAGTGGTGTTTGTCAGTAAGTCTGGGTATAATGGCTATACTGATTCGATGCTTATACAGCCACAGAAAAACTATTATTAAAAATGAAAAAAAATTATTAAAAAATTATTTTTTTGTTCGCATGTTTGATTTAAAACGACTTTTATTTAAGGAATTTTATTTTAGAATTTTATTTTAGAACCGTCTTTCGTTTCCCTCACCAAGCCTCAAAATAGTTTTGCGATGTCTTTGACGCTGAACGTAGGCTTTTTTTCATTTGGACTATGGTCTTCTTCACCGTCGTGAAATGAGTGGATAACCAAGCGGCGTGGGCAGCGACTACTTTTGCGTACTCGAATAGGGTTGCAAAGGTTTAATAGGGACATGTTGGGGTTTTTGGTGAATTTGGGGTAATTGAGGATTTTTTTCAAGAAGAAGCACGATTTTTGTGAATTTTTTCAAGTTTTGCGGATTTTGAGGAATTTTTGGATTTTTTGAAGAAGCGTGATTTTTGTGGATTTTCGAAAGTTTTTATGGATTTTGGGAATTTCAAATTTTTGGGATTTATATTAAGTAAAATGAGATTTGGTGGATTTTTGTGGTTTGGTCCCAAACTTCCCATTCCTTACTACTGCTTGTGACGGAAAAAATCAAAGAGACATTTGCCACTGCCGAATCTCTCAACACATCGGACGCATCAGTATATTACGCACATATCACCATCATTTATTCTGCGTGTATCTGACGATAATGGTTGATGATGTCGATATCGATGATGGTTCAATCTACGCAAAGAGAATTAACATCCAATCACTAAACTAAACTTAATAAGCAATAGTTAAGCTATGTATAATTTAAATCGGATTACTTGTGGCAAGGTGTAAATTTTCATACAACAATTTCCAATCCATTCAGTATCATTGAAATAAAGAACACTTACGACATTGAGCTTATCCAAGAGCAAAAAGTGGCAAATTCCCTTAGTCAACTTCGAAGCTGCAGTAGCTGACGTGGCGAATGACAAAGTGATTGTAGTATAAAATTATACGTGTATATATAAGAGAAAACCTACCACAACTGAATTATAATATTGAATCTATTAAGTACTTGTAAAGGTATTTGGGTCAACTGGTAGTGTCACCTGGTCAGGGCCATACAGAGGGTCGAAGGGAAATTTTGTACTGGCAAACCACATGTTGGTCAATTTCGTGCAAAGGGTTCCGCATATACAGTACATGTACTTGAATTGAGTTAAGTTGACAAACCTTATTTAGATAGAATTAAACAACAATAACAAGACAATCTAACTTTACACTGCTGTTCAGCTTGATAATGATATAGTGCAAATTCCTTCTCTGCAGGGCGCGTAGCGTTTTGTATCGGCAGCCTCGTCCCGAAAAGCGATGGTTAGCGCACCGGGGGGAAGGTCAAAATGGCATGCATGGCTATAGACAGGACAAAAGCCCGATTCTGGAGTGGCAGTCTTTTTTACACGTCGTGCAGGCGTATCTGGTTGGATCACGCGTGTAGGCCGCACTCTGCTTCCGAGGAGCTTTTACGTGGTCAAAATTGTTGCCGCATATCGTGCAGGGTATCAACGATATGGCGCGGCAAAATCGTTCCCATGGGAAGAGGTTGATCTTTGGCTGTGTGGACGTGGTACGAGGCTGTGCAATTGCCTGGGGTGCATTCCACCAAATGGTTGTATTTCTGCGCGCGAGCTCATAAGTTTTTTGTCATCCCACGGGATTTTTACAATAAGACATGCCATACTATCAGGAGGCATCATAGAAATATTTCTATTAATCCTGAGTTTAGGACCGATATATTCCAGTTCGGATCATTTCTTCCATGCTTTCACTAAAAGCCCCAAATTGCGGACCTATTTCGGATCATAAAGGTGCGTGGCTACATTCAGAAATGAGCGCTTAGTTTTACTGCTATTTGGGAGGTATCTTCGTTCAAAGGCGAATAAAAAACTTCTTGGCTAACCCCATGAAATTGAAACGAAAAGTGATCTTTTGGCCATAATCTTGAATTTCCAGTGAAAAAACGGAGCCCCCCCCCTCTTCACGAATGTCAACAGGTGGCGCTATTTCGATCGATTTTGCACTGTTTTCTATAGGCGCGTATTTGATGCAATGCAACCGTAACGCGTACACATCAGCAACAGTACATGTACATGTGATTCAAAGTTACTCAACTGCTGTGCGAGAACTCGCTCGTTTTGATCGCCGGCTGGGAAGGGTTTCTTATTACCGGTTAAGTGCTTGAAAATGACCGATGAACAAGAACAGGTTGGTCTCTCATCTCTCTAAGCCTTGGGTATGATTTCCATTGAGGACCCACGTTAAAAAGGAAGAAAGCTCGTTCTTAGATAGCCCC